GGAGCCTCTTCGTGGGGTTGGTGTGGGATGAGCAAAGCTGTTTTGTGCAGTTTAGAGGGGTGCTGGTGAGGTGCGTGCTGTGTGAGCTTGGTAACTGTCACTAGCTATGTTGCTTTGTGGGGCTGGGACATCGGAAGCCAGCCACTCGCAGGACAATAAGGGTGATCCTGAGCAGCCAGGAGCTTGGCGTGAAAGCTGGCTGTGGACCCCGACGAGGCTCTGAGCTGAACGGAGGAGAATGGAAGGTCTCGATTGAGTCAGGCCGACAGCCAGGGTCCTGGGCAGACAGCCCGGCGTGGGCAGGCTGAGCGGGGGCCCCACCGTGGGGTAGCAAGGCCCTCAGCATGCGGCATGCCACACCTGAAACGAGACGAGGGGCTGAGGGCGAGGGTGAGCCACGGTGTGGACCTGGCGTGGTGCTGATGGTGTGGAACCACGGGGAGGAGGCCAGGCCCTTCTGCTGTGGACAGGCCTGGGCTCTGGGTCTGCGGCATGTCTGTGCCAAGGGAGGGCGCTGCGGTCTGCCTCACAGCAGTGGTGAACGGTATCGGTGCTGCCAGGGCTGCCGGGTCCCCTAGGCAGAGAGCGAGCCCTGACTGCCACGGCCGGGACGGTGGGTCGTCATCGCAAACCCCACAGGGAAATCATGTGGTCCCACTTCTGTGCACGAAGACATCCAGCAGAGAGGAATCGAGCGTCTTGTAAAGACTGATGAATCATGGAAGGGCCAGAATCGAACCTGAATGTCCAGATCCCTGCTTCCGCCTTTAATACTGCCGTACACACTTGGAACGCAGCCCGAGAGAGAGCACGAATGGGGCAGTCGGAGAAATTCAGCAACTTGTGTCTGGCAGAGAGCGGTCGAGGAGGGGAGGAGAGAAAGCCACATGAAGAGAGGAGGCGGTTCTCTGCACCCGGTGGACGGTCCTCAGGCCCAGGGTGTGCATCAGGTCGCAGCGGGAATCACTGTCCCCTCAGCGAGACTCTGTCTCTGGTGGATCCTTGTTGGGTCAGGGCAGCTCCCGCTTTCCTCAGCCCAGGCAGGAGCAGGGTCGCGTGGCTGAGAGGCACAGGGAGTCGTTGAACGTGGGATGAAGAGCACCCAGTGCCAGCTGGGGCTCAGTGAGAGGCTGCTTTGGGCTGCAAGGGCCTTTGAGATTCACCGGCCTTGGGTCTGCCACGTCCCACTTCCCAGCCTTGCCCAGTGAGCTGCCAGGTCTGAGACGTCGGTTACCCTGGCTAAAGCCTCTTACCCTGAGCCCAGAGCTGCAGCAGGATCTTTCAGGAACTGGAGGAGGGGAGATTGCAAATCCTTTCTTGTGTTCCCTGGCTTAATTCTTTGGGAAATCCTAAGCGCATGTCGGAGGCCTGGGCTTTCTTGCTGACATATCCAGAAAGCAGGCTTGCGGAGCAGGTTGACTGGCTCAGAATACCCAGGATCGACACCGCAGCACAGGGGGGACTTCCTTCTGTGACTTTCTGCTGACTCAAATAAAATATTTCTTTCATGTTATATCTACCTTTTAAAATAAAAACCTCAGTGAAAGATTTAGAGTATAAAAACGAAAGGCTTCATTTCTGTAATGTTTAAAAGTGCAAACCCCAGACTGCCGTCAGTCAAGGGGAGAGGAAATGGGGACATTCAGAAACTGGTGAGGAAGTGGGAACCTGGACAGCGGGGACAGAGCGAGTGCTGAGCCAGAGGGAGGCCCAGGGTGAGGAGGAGGCGCTTTAGCAGGACGAGAGGAAGCAGCAAGACAGGCCGTCTGGGCCCAGCGGCGGCCCTGCAGGTGGCTGTGCTGTGCTGTGCTGTACCACGCAGATGCCTTGTGGGAGGCCTGGGTTTGCACCCACCCAACCAGCACTCCTGGAGACATGGCCTGTGGCCCTAGCTGCGGGAGGCCAGGCAGTAGGAGCACTGCACGGTGAGATCCTGTTATAAATACCCCCCATCTTTCTTTCTCTCTATCTCCCTCCACTTTGGTTATAAACAACAAAAAAAAAAACAAAAAGGAAAACCAAACCAGACCGGCAGGGAGGAGAGAGGAGGAGGCCTCCCAGGCTGAGTGGAGGCTTTTGTGAGCTGCATCCTTTTGACACAGCCTGCTGTTCATCCACACTGTGGGATTTGAGCCTCCAGTTCCTCATCTCTGAAATGCTAATTAACTGATTATCCCATATCTGCTTTATAATTGCTCTGTATTCTTAATCCCGCTGAGGCACAGCCTTAAAGGAGATGGCCCCAAGGACGTGTGAGTGGAAAAGTGCCCAGCCAGCTGGACATGGCTTCAGCTGGAGCCACCCTCACCCTCACTTTAGGGAGCAGGGTCTGCCATCCAGGTGGCCCTGGGTCTCCAGGCTCCTCAACTCTCACAGCAACCCCAGAGCGCGAGCAAGGTCCGAGGGCAGCCAGCCAGTCAGGGCTGAGCGAGGGCAGCCAGTCAGGGCTGAGCGAGGGCAGCCAGTCAGGGCTGTGCGAGTCTCGCCCAAGTCGGTCGACAGATACCAAGCTCTCCCATGTGAACAAGCACTTTAATAGATGCTTGTTGGAAGGGGGAACAGCAGCTGGTGCAGTGGTTATGTCACTGGACTCCCTGATGGCTGACAGCGGTTCAAGTCCCAGACCCGGCAGCTTGAAAC